GGACTGTGATTGTGCAAAGGGATGATGTGAAAGCAAAGCCTCTGAGCCTCAGCAGAATAAGTCTTTATTCCCTCAATTTGGCAGAGCAGAAATAGAAACATTAAAGAGGAATAATGCAAATGGCATTGTCAAGATTTCCAAAATAAATTCAGCTGTATCAGTTTTTCCTCAAATACATTTTTATTGGTTTCTCAAGGACTGCTGGTGCCCAGGATGCACTACTGCTGCAGGTGCCAAATTCAATTGGTGAATTGAATAAATTTTTAAATAAATCCATTTAAATTGTAGCTTCTGAATTATTGGATGTATTCACGTCCTCACTTTGACACTGTTTCCTGAGGATCCAAACAGAATTTTTTTCCTATTCCAACTACATTCAGCACAGCCTGTGTCAAGGTATGTTGAATGTTTTCTGTTTCCTGATGTGCAATCTGCTCTGTCTCTGGTTTTCCAGCTCCTCTGCCCAGGCAGCATCAGGGCTTTGCCATGAGCTGTCAGAAAACTGTGGGAAAACCCAGGACATTTTCTGCCAGGCTGAGAGGGGATTGTTCAGCCTGGAGAGGAGAAGGCTCCAGGGAGAGCTCAGAGTCCCTTCCAGGGCCTAAAGGGGCTCCAGGAGAACTGGAGAGGGACTGGGGACAGGGGATGGAGGAACAGGACATAGGGAATGGCTTCCACTGCCAGAGGGCAGGGATGGATAGGATATTGGGAAGAAATTCTTCCCTGTGAGGGTGCTGAGGCCCTGGCACGGGGTGCCCAGAGCAGCTGTGGCTGTCCCTGGATCCCTGGAAGTGTCCAAGGCCAGGCTGGACAGGGCTTGGAGCAGCCTGGGACAGTGGAAGGTGTCCCTGTCCATGGCAGGGATGGAACTGGAGGATCTTCAAGGTCCCTTGCCCTGCAGCCCAAGCCACTCTGGGATTCTGTGGATGCCCTCTGTCATGCAGGATGTAGCCAGTCAGAATTAAGGCTTTCACTGACATGTGGGAATATCTGTGACCAAAGAAGCCTGCCAACTTGGCAGAGCTGACTGGATTTTGAGGGATAGCCTGGCAGAGCTTGGGAGCCCTGCAATCCATCAGCCTGTGCCACCATTTGGGCTGTGTGGGTTCTGAGGCAGCATCCAGAACTGAGGAATTTTTGAAAGCAGCAGAGACATTTCAGCTCCTTCCCTTCTGCACCGACAGCTCCAGACCTGGCAGTTCAGTTCAGAGCAGGGCTGGACTCCAGTGCTTCTCCTGGACATCACATTCACTGTAGCTTTGGGAAAGGGAGAGTAAAAAATAGCAATACCCAGAGGGGCTGAGCTGGCTCTGCTGCTTGGTTTCACTCTGTGTGTGGCACCCAGGGCAGGTGAGGGCTCCTGGCAGGTGAGCTGTGACTGTCCACTGAGCTCCAGAACCTTCAGCTCACTCCAGGAACTCCTTCATCCCCCACAAAATATCATTTGCTATGAAAACAGACAGTATTAGCCAAAAGGGAATCCTGAAGGATCCCCTCCAAGGTTGTTGCTGCTCCTGCTGAGATAACCAAGCTCTGCAGAGGTGTTTGAACTTGAGAGGATCTTTTGCTGTGGAATAAAGTTGCTCTGTGGACTTGATGGGCTTAAAACACATCAAAGCAGTTAAATCCTCAGGTGTATGAGTGACCTGTGCATTCCCCACCACACTGCTTGCCTCCACAGTGATTCCCTGTGAATCCATGGGGGGTTTGTTGAGGGGGAGCAGGAGGAAGGCCCAGCTGAGCTGCCCTGTCCTTCCCCTGCCCACAGGGAGCAGAGGGGCAAGGGACACTCAGCTGAGCTCTGACGGTTCCATAGCCCTGCAGAGCATTTGCAGCCATGTGCACTCCTGTGCTGGCTGCTTGGGATGGGTGGAGGAACTTTTATTGAAGGACACTGGACGGGATCTGAAGGTTCTTGGCTCTGGAGTGAGCAATGAAGTGTTATCTTGCTGTACCGAGCTTGTCCCTGTGACGTCATTGATGTGACATCAGTGTTGTGATAGCCGTGTTGTGACTGAGTCCTGCCTGTGCCTGAGTCAGTGAGAGCCAGGATTCGGGGGAATGTCTCCTTTCTCCTTGCCCTTCCCTTGGCATTCTGGGGAATAGCTCCTTTCTCCTTGCCCTTCCTTGCCCTTCCCTTGGCAGCACCTGCTCTGGGACACGCCGAGTTCCTGGCGGTCAAACTGGAGAGAAGCTGGGATTGTTAATCCTCTGTATCCAACAAAAACACTGCCCTGGCAGTTTAATTGCCATAACTGGTTGTTCTCAGGGACTTTTTTGATGCTTTTGGGTGGATTTGCACCTGAAAACCTTTCCAAACATGCTGAGCTGACCGGCTGATGGATCTTCCTGGGCAAAGCCATCAGCTTTGTCCTGTGGACATCCCCAGCGTGGCACTGGAGTCCTGCAGCAGCAGTGCCAGAGGCACCTGGCTCGTGGCTCCCAGTGAGCCAAAGCAACCATAAAGTCAAATGGTTGACTGGGATCAGTCAACCAAATATATCTGAGGCAAGTCACCTAAACAATCCCAATAAATCCACCCCACTGCTTTCCTTACAACAAGCAAAAATGTGTTTGCTCTGGTGCCAAGCACACTTCCTTTTGTCCTAAATTTCCCCTGCACTTTGTTCTGACAAATATAATTCTTTATTTGCCTTTTAAGTTTTTATTGACAATGTTGTAGGTGTTCCCCTCCCATCTCCAGCACCACCTGCCCAGCAGAGGAATTCAGGCTTTCAGACTGAAGATGAAAACAGGCTTTAGTGAGCTGGAATTGCTGGCTTTTCCCACCAGGATGGCTTTAAAGAGGCAAGACAGTTTCTTTGCTGTTCTTTTGCTGGTGGCTCAGTGCAGCAGAGAAGCGTCCTCCCTCCTCTTACCCTTCTCCAGGGTTGCTCTGGTCCAGCTTTATGGAATCCTCTCCTCTGCTATCCTAGAGACAGGAGTGAGTTTCTTTGGAAGAGACTGAGCAGAGCTGCAAGAGGGACAGACTCTCACGAGGTCTCAGCTTTTCTTTCAGCTGCATGAGCTCCTCAGAATGGCTCATACCCAGCATCTCTCAGGGATCACGGTGCTCAGGGAAGAGGAATTCCCTGTTCTTTTAGTGGAAGCTGCTGGATACTGAGGAGTAAAGAATATCAGTCCTTAGGGTGGCAGAGGAAATTTGTTCTCTCTGACTAATGACTCAGTAACAACAGGCTGATCATTCCCAAGGCAGGGCAGGCAGATGGTGTGACTGGAGAGGTTCTGAATGCAGCAAACCAAGAGCCCTCAGCCCCTGCTCCCAGTAACCAAATTCCTTCCTGTGTCTGCCCACTTTGCCCAAGGCCATGCTCATTCCTTCCTCCAGCCCCCCTGACTGAGAAGTAAAAGGGTTGTACTTTTCCAGAGGACAATGTCCACAGCTCCCAGGCCTTCCATGGTTAATTATTTTAATTAACTAATCTGTTCAAAACATCCAGAGCCCATTGAGCCATCTGGACGGATTCAAGTCACATATTGGTATTCCTGATGAGCTGATTAAATCCTTCCGTTTGCTCCAAGCCCTCAGTGCAGCCAAATGTGCCCCTCCAAAGCTGCTTCACACAAACACCTTCAGGGGGTTGGATTTGGGGGAAAAGGCTGTCTTCAGCCTTGGGAGAGGTGTGCTAGGAACCCTGGTGCTGGCACAGCCATGAATCCCACAGTGGTTTGGGTTGGGAGGGACCTTAAAGCCCATCCAGTGCCACATCCTGCCATGGCAGGGACACCTTCCACTATCCCAGGGTGCTCCAAGCCCTGTCCAACCTGGCCTTGGACACTGCCAGGGCAGCTGAAGGATTGCTCTGGCACCAGGCAGGAGCAAGCAGGAGATGAGCAGAGGGCCCAGGGCTGGGGTCTTTACAGAGCTCTGTGAAAAGCTCTTACCATCATCATCCCTTCCTGGGGGTGTCATCCCTGTGCTTAGAGAAGCAGGAATCCTGGGACTGGGGTTATGGGTATTCCCTGATGTCAAAATTCCCTAATTACTAGCAATGTCTGGGAAAACAAAAGGTCAAGACAGGTCTCTGTCTGGGTCAGGAAGTTTTAAACTGCTAAAAGCTGGATTTACCAGAGAGGCTGCAGTATCTGGAGATGCTGTTGGTACATCAAGCGCTTGGGACACCTGGAATGGGGAAGGAATTTCAGCCTCTCCAGCCACGTGGCTTTAGCATCAAGAATAATCATGTGGAGAGGAGATTTCCTCTCCTCCTGTGCCCTGATTGGAAGGAAAGTTTCCAACTTCCATCTCAGAAAGGGATATCTTGTCGTGGAATTCATTTTACAATAAAACTGTCTGGGTTTTTACACATACTGTTGACCTTTATTTGGTATATGAACCCATAACTCCTGGGCTCCCAGTTTTATACAGGGCGGGATAGATCAGTGCAGCTTCCAGCTGAGCATCTCATCTTGGGAGTTGTGTGAGGTTTAATGACTCCGTCTTAATTTAAATAAGATAATCTTGGCTTTTACAAGGGAGGACACCTTTAGCAAGAGCAGGCAACTGAACTAAGAGAACTCTCCTGCCTGGGTGTCTCTCCCCATGGCAGAGCTCCTCCTTTACCCTCCTGGCACCCAGGATTTGGGGGGTGGAACTCAGCCAGGCTTTTAAACCTCTCAGAGGAAAAGTCATCCAGCACCAGAGTGCCCCAAACACTGCAGCCACTTCAGGCTGGTCGATGGACACCTGCACTTACCCAGGGGTGGAATCACTACTCCTGGAAATGTGCAAAAAACATGTGAATGTGGCACTTCAGGACATGGGTTAGTGGTGGCCTTGACATGATGGACTTGATGACCATAAACATCTTTTCCAACCTTAACAATTCCATGATTCTGTGATTTTTTCCCCAACCTCATTCTTTCCATCTGTCAGAGCCAAACCCCAGTCTGTCGGTGGTGGTGGCTGTTGGGATGAAGGACTTGGCTGAGCTGGATTCCTGTGGCTTTCCCCCTCACAGGATTCTTGTTCCCTGCAGGTAAATGGCCACCTGGACTACATGAAGCAGATGGACACGATCCTAAAAGCCGTGGGCATTAAAACCAAGGAATGCCAGCTGGAAGAGAAGGGCAGTCTTTTTTCCCCTCAAGCCAAGAAATCCCAGCAGGCAGCAGGCAGCGAGGCTCGGGGACAGGAAAACACCAGGAAAGAGGAGAACGAGGCTGGGAGTGAGGCTCTCCCAGCCAGCTGTGCTCACCGACAAAATTCCTCCAGCTCTGCCCTGGGAGAACCTTTGCCACCCTGCCCAGACTGCTCACACAGCACAGACAGCAAGGACCAGGCAGTGGGGAAGGGAGCAAATTAGGGCAGAGCTGCTCAGCCAGCACAAAAACCGCTGTCAGCACATCCGTGGCACTGGGATTCCCAGAGGATGGAGCTGCAGCTGCAGTTTCCAGCCCCTCCGGAGAAAAGCGTGGCACTGGCGTGGCACCGGATCAAAGCGCTTGGAGCAGCCGCCCACGGCACCTCCCCGAGGCGGGAGGGGGCTGATTCCTGCCGGAGGCTGCACTGCTCCTCAGGAATCCGAGACAGATCCCGTCCAAATCCTTGCAGGAAGCAGCTGCCCCCCTCGGCACCGTGTCCCTGCTGTGACTGAGGGGAGGGAAGCAGGTGGCTCTGAGGGGATTTTAAGCATTTCACAGAGAGGGGTTCATTACTAGGAAATTAAAACCATTTTTGCACTGGAGATGAGATTGGTTTAAGGATCTCAGGTGTGTTCCAGGCTCTACCTGCCCCACTCTGGATGGATCTGGATCTGCTCTCCAGCTCTGCTGACCAGGAGGGTAAAAGCTCGGGCTGCCAGGCTTTCTTCCCCCGCCTGCTGCAGGTTTGCTGCCAGGGCTCAGGCACTTTCCCATCTCCAAGACAGTTTCCCTCTGTCCAGGCTGACGTTGGTGAGTGTTGGAGGCTTGGAGGCCCTTTTCCTGTTAGAAACATGTTTGGGACCCTGGAGGAAAGCAGCAGGAAAACCAAGGGGGTTTTGGATGGTTTATGGAAATTCCTCCCGAGTTCTCCAAGCCAGCAACCCACTTTGACTTTCCTTTTGTGTCCCACAGACATCTCCAGCCTTAAAAGCTCCATCCAGACATATTTTTAATTGGCTTAGAACAAAGCCAATACTTAGCACAGAATAAACGTGGATCTGTTTGATTTCTACGTCCTTCCATAAAAATGTGTTGGCTCCACTCTCTTCATCCCCAGTCTCAGAGCAGAGGAAAGGACCCAGCTCTACATCCCCTGCCAGCACAGCTCCAGAGCCTTGTGGGAATGATCCACATCTTCCATAAAAGCCCCTTTTCTGGCCAGTTTTGCTGCTGAGCCCAGGCAAGTGCACCAGGCAGGAGTGTGGCAGGAGGGTCACCCCCTCTGGGGTTTTATGCTTTGTCACAAGGGAGGGCTCAAACTCTCCCACCTCTGTCTGGGGGGTCCTGTTGACTTATGAGGGAAAATACTGAGATTGAACCTTCCAATTTTTGTTCACACAGGGTTCTCCCCCTCCTCCTCCCCACTGACCCAACAGCCATGTTAATCCCCCCTCCTATTCCCAGCTTCCTGCAAACCTTACCTGCAGATCATTCCTCATGGAGTCAGACACAGCTGGGTTTGGGGGTGATGCTGTGACCCAGCAAAGCACCATGGTTTGGATGCAGTGCCTGGCAATTCCTCTCCCTAAATCCAGCATCCCAGGGGCTCAGACCTGCCTAGCTCTGACCTGGAGGGGTGACTCACTGCAGAGACGATAGGGACTGGCTGTGGGGTCCCACAGGGATGGGGCTGTTCAGCCAGCTGCTGGTGGTGCCATTGGCTGCAGGGTTGGGATGGGATTCCTCTGCTCATCTGAGGGTTTGTCCACAAGCAAACACCTGCTTACACAGAACTGCCTGCATGAGACAGGAAGGAATTATTGCTTTTGAACATTTGGCTTGAAGAGGTGACTCTCCCTCTCTCTCTCCGTCCATCTCCCAAGGCTGATTTGGTACCTAACAAACTTCCAGACTCCACAGTACCTTTTTCTGCTCCTTTTTAACTTGGGTTGTAGTCCAAGCTTGTATTTATATAAAGCCATTGTGGGAAGATGCTCATCTTGATCTGGGTGCTCAACACCAGCCCCAGGCTCCATCTGCAGCAAAATGCATTGAACAGTTTGAGGTTTGAGTCTGTGCTCAGCCCTCAGGGTGTCCCAGTCACTCATCCCTGACTCCCAAGGGATTTGTGGCAAAGAAATGCTGGGTTGGTCATACAAACTCCTGTTCAGTTCTGGAAGAACTGTGGGCAACGTGGAAAGAAAACTGAAAGTGGCCTGGTGTGTGGCTGCTTCTTCCAGCATCCTGTATCCAGGGGATGCTCTGTGTCCATTTGGGTATCAGGGAGTTCCAGGAAAACAGTCTTGGAATTAGGCAGAAGGCTTGGAATGAAGGGTCCAGGGAGGGCACAGCAGCTAGCTGCCAGCCCAAAGGCACTTGAGAAAGAATTTACTAAAATAATTCCTTTTATTGATTTTTTGAAGTGCCCACTTGTCACATTTACTCAGTGTTCCCTCTGCTTATGGCTCTGGGAAGGGGGCTGGCATTGTCATTTAAAATACAATTTTCCTTTAGATTCTTATCTGAAGGGGGAGGAAAAGTGTATTTTCTAACTGCATCATCGAGGACATGATGAATTGTCGGAGGGAAGCGAGATGGTGCTGTGCAGGAGTGGGAAGCTGTGGGATGGAGCCTGTGGGAGGAGCTGATCCCATTACTACTGCGAGACACGCATGGAGCCACCGTGAGTCGCACCCCACACCCCCACTGAACATCCAAAAATCAGTGTTGGACATTCTGCACAAAACTCAACCCCCGCAGTGCAGCTCTGCGTGACAAGGCACGGCGGTGCCGCTGAGCTGGAGCGCACTGTGTGACAGGAACCTGAGACAGACGGGACTCCAGGGAGGAGATCCAGCCCCAGCTCCAGGAAGATGTGATGTTCCGTGGGCTGAAGCAGCCCCAAACCTCAGTGTTCCTGCTGAAGCAGCTCTAAACCTCTTGCCCATGAGCCACAGGATGTTTTTCCACCACTCCCCTCAGTACACTTGGAGAAGATCTGCTGAGCTCTGTGTGTGCAAAGCCAAGCCTTGGCTTGAGGTTAGTGAGACACAGAGTCTGGAATCCGAGGTTCAGACTCGCCAGAGATGGAAAGGCTGCAGGAAGGGTTAGGGGATGGTGGTGGTGGTGAGCACAGGAGGGATGAAAGAGAGAGAGGGACAAAGCTGGTTATTTCAGCAGCAACACCTGGCTCTGCACGGTTTGATCCTCCTTGTGATAGCGCCCGGGGCCACCATCCCTTCCGTGAACTGCACTGTGTGCTGGAACAGGGAACTGGGGAGATGGCTTGCGGCAAATCGGCCACAAACCTCCCAGAGGGCTTGTGTTGGGCCCGGGGATCCTTCCTGTCACACAGCGCTGTGCGTGCCCGCTCAGGCCACGGGCGTGCCGAGCTGCAGCTCCGTGTCCGGGGGCTCCGCATCCCAAAGGCTGACGGAGCGGGCGCCGGGGCCCCGCGGTGCCGGGAGCAGCCTGGGCTCGCTCCCCGGTGCCCCGGAGTCGATGGAGTCGGTCTCAGCCTGCAGGGTGAGGACGTTCTTGAGGGATGTGGCAGCGCGGGGCCCGCTGTTGGAATTCCTCATGGACAGGGAGATGGCGCTGGGCCGGGGCTCCGCGGAGCGCCGGCAGCAGGGCAGGAATTTGCCCATGGCCCTCTTGAAGTCCCTCATGAAGAGCGGGTAGATGATGGGGTTCATGGTGCTGTTGCAGTAGCCCAGCCAAGTGAGCACATCGAAGAATCCGGCCGGGACACAGTCACAAACTGCCTGGGGGAGCACAGCAGGGATCAGCAGCCTCCCACCTCAGCCCCAACCCAGAGAGGTTTCCCAGGCACACCAACATTCCCCTTTCAGAGGAAACCTTCAAATCCCCTTTGTAGGGTTTTTTCCTTGCTGTTGCTCCCTGGGGAATTGCATCCTTGGTCCCGGAGGTCTAGCAAGACCTGGTGCCTCCAATTGAACCCACCTGGATTCCAAAGGGAAAGCTTCTGGAAACCCAGCACAAAGCTCCCACAGGCTCTTACCTGAGCGACATTGGTGATGAAGAAGGGCAGCCAGGCCACAAAGAACATGCCCAGGAGGATGCCCAGGGTCAGGCTGGCCTTCAGAGCCTTCTTGCTGTGCTTGTTGGTGAACCTCCTGCTCTCGCTGCCAGCCAGGGGCTGGCTCGGGGTGCGTGGGACCTGCGGCCAGAGACAGGGAGCAGTGGGCAACTCTCCCTGGCAGCAGCACTGGCCTCTGCCCGAGAAAAGTGGCATTTGGTGCTCCAGATCCTGCAAAAACCCTGCCAGTAATTCCTTTCTCCAAGGGGTGGGAGCTGGGCACACACCGCTGAAGCACAAATTAGGAAGGGGAAGCAATAGAAACCCTCAACACTGAGGGTATGATTTTATTTACTGTAAAATAGCGTGTTTGTCATTAGGCTGCTCTTTAGAGAAAAACCCAGCTCAGTCCATATGAGGATAAAGCCTGTCCTAAACAGGCAGCTCCAGCTGCTGATTACAGCAGCAAACTAATTATGGTTTTAAAATGAGGACATGAAACATTTCAGCCTCCAAACACCATAACCCAGTCCTCCATCCCCTCCTGCAATCTAAAATTAAGTGATTGTCTCAGCCCTCCCCTGTAATTAAATGATGCCCTGTTGCAACTCAGCTTCTGGCCCAAAAAGAGAACAAAAATCTCTAAAATTAGATGAAGATGAAAAGGTTAAAAGATGAATCTGAGGGTTCCCTGGCTGACACCTTGTTCCTCAGCCAATCTGGGTCTTCAAGGAACCTTTTGGGCCTCAGCTGAATGACAGGGGGATGGATGCTGCTCTTGCACAGCAAAGCCCTGAACATCCCCTGACTCTGTGGAGTCCAAAAACTTGGCACCCTGTGAGAAAATAAGCACTTTATCATATTGTGTGTTTATTCTTTAATTCTCCTTTTCATTTGACCGTCTGGTGCAGCTTATCACGTGTGGGAGAGCTGGCCAGAGTCCTGGCTCTGCTTTTGGAGAGAATAAACTCAATCAAGGTATTTAAAGGCAATTAAGTTTGCCTTTTCCCTGTAGGATATGAGGTCAATAAAGCCTATTACAGGGAATTAAAGCTGTTAGATTTAGTGGCAATTACCTTCTCCTGGAGAAATACAAACAAGTGCAGCCACGTTTTTGTTATAAAACCCACACACTCCGGTTCCACCGGCGAGCACACGAGGAGGGGTTTGGCAGCTCCTGTTATAGAGCAGGTAACAAAAATAGAAGCTTCTGTTCAAAATAAGGTGCTCTCGGGAATCTGGCATTTGCTATTAGTTAAAATCCTTCTCCCCCATATGTCTCACACCCACCATGGCCAAGATTTGTGAGTGGAAAGTCAGATAAGATTAAACCCCTCGGGGATGACGCCAACCAAGAGAGGGGGGAACTGCATCTATTTTGCACTGCTGAGCATTTTTGCCTGAATCTTATTTATTTCTCTGCTTCTGCTCACGCTGTTTCTGTGCTCATGAGCAGCTTCAGAGCTCTCCATTGCTGGGACGAGGCATGGGGCACCTCAGAGGATGTCAGGGAGGTGGATGTTGCCCAAAATCTCCCTCCCTGCAGTTGTCAAAGCTGGCTCCAACCCTGAGGCCATCCAGGAAGCAGAAACAGCCCAGGCACCCAAACTGTGGGGTCTGCCAGAGCAACATCCCTGTGGGCGCCTTACCTGTGGCGTGGCCTCATCGGTGGTGGCCACGTTGGAGGCCAGGGAGGCCACCTGCACGGCCTGCTTGCGCGCTGCCAGCAGGATGCGGCAGTAGGTGAAGGAGATGGCGGCGGACGGCAGGAAGAAGGTGAGGCAGGAGGCCACCAGGGCGTAGGGCAGACTGACCAGCAGCCGGCACTGGTCCTCATCCCCCCGGCCGGTGACGTTCAGGGGCTGCACCTCGAACTCCAGCTCGTGCCACCCCATCTTGATGGGCAGGAAGGAGGCCAGCGCGGCCAAGGTCCAGGTGGCCAGGATGAGCGCCAGCGCCCTGCAGGACGTCATGCGCAGCTTGTAGCGGAGCGGGGACGTGATGAGCAGGTACCGGTCCAGGCTGATGACGCACAGGTTGAGGATGGAGGCGCTGCAGCACATGACGTCGAAGGAGGCCCAGAGCGAGCAGAAGTCCCCCCGCAGCACCCAGCGGCCGTAGAGCTGGTTGAGCATGGCCGGGGGCATCACCACCAGCCCCACCATCAGGTCCGACATGAAGAGGGACACGAGGAAGTAGTTGGAGGTGTTGCGGAGGGAGCGCTGCGTGACGATGAGGAGGATGAGGAGGAAGTTGCCCGCTGTGGTCAGCAGGATGATGAAGCAGAGGAAGGCGGCCACCCAGCTGCTGCCCATGAGCAGGGAGTGCTCCCCCAGCACGCTGGCATTGGGGGCCCCCAGGTCCCCCTCCATGAGGAGCCGGGGGCAGGGCTGGCCCTGGGCTGGGGACCTTCTCCAGCGTGGCCTGTGCTACGTGATCATCACCGGGGCTGGGGAAGGAGGATCATCTCTCTCCACTCTGTGTCTGTCCTCCCTTCTCCTCTCCTCCTCCTCTCCCTCTCTTCCCCCACTGTCTCTTTTCACTGGCACTCAGGGCAGGGTGACATTCCCAGGAGCCGATCAGCAGGACCAAGGTTCCCTCCCCATTACTCACAGCAGTTCCTGTAAATCCCCCTGCTCTGGGATGTCTCTGGATGCTGCTTCTGGATGCTGGGGATGAGCTGGAAGGCAGGGCTCCCAAGATGCCAGGGATGGCAGGATGCTCTGGATACCCTGATGCTCTGGATGCACTGGACCAAAGAATAATACAACACCGAGATGCTCTGGATGCTCTGCACTTCAGATGCTGGGGATGCTCTGCATCCCAGGATATTCCAGATGCCAGGGCTGCTCTGTACCCAGGATACCCTGGACGCTGGGGATGCTCTGGACTCCAGGATGCTCCAAATGCTGGGAATGCTCCGGCCCCCCGAGGCTCAGCTGTCGCCCCCCAGCTGAGCTGGCTCCCTGCAGCGCTCTGTCCCCGGGGTCCCAGAGCTCCTCCGCTGCTGCAGCTGCTGCAGCCAAAGCCGTCAGGAGCGGCACGGCAGCCTCAAGCGCGGACCGGGATGCTCGCAGCCAAGCCCGCCCGCGAGGAGGAAGATCCGGAGGGTGGAAGGGATCTCTCCCGCGGCAGAGGAGCGTCCAGCCCACAGGGAGGTGTGGGAGTGGGTGTGTGCAGGTGCCAGCCCGACTTTCACCTGCTGCTGTGGATGCACACAAAGGATGCAGAAATGCCGATCGAGGAGGTGGGGCTGGGGGGAGAGGAGGAGATGAAATGAAGCGCTAATGAAAACAGGGAGCTGGGCTAAACTCCACAAAGTGGCAGCCAGAGAGTTCCCGTTTCTGCCTTAAAGAGACAGCCCCGTGCTCTCCATCCCTGCCATCTGTGCCAGCGCTGGAGCCCTGGCTGGGGACACCTGAGCCAGCAGCTCAGTGGCCAAACCCAGCCGGCAGCTCCGAGTTCCAGGTTCCATCCTCCACACTGGGTGATAAAAAGCAAAATTTTGCAAAGTCTAATAAAAAATCAGCTGCACACAACAGCCCTCAGGCAGCAGCCAGAGGACTCGCTAGCAGATCTTCCAGCAGTCTGCAGCCAGGGATGGAGGAGCAGAGACAAGGAAGAGCCTGGCCCCTCTGCTCCTGGGTAATTTGGACTGGCTCAGGGCAGCACAGCTCCCTGCCTGAGGGGCAATCCTGGGGGGCCCCACAGCAACCTGCCCTTTAGCAAGTGGGAGGCAACATGTGAGAGGAGCCAGCTCAGAAAGCCCTTCTGAGTCTCTGTGTGCTGCTGAGCCTTCCACACTCAGGGCAAATACCTCAGAGTGCTGGGCAGGGACTGCTTGGGGTTTTTAAATTACCCACCTGCCCAAAGGTGGGGTTTTCCCAACAAATGGCTGTGATTTCTGCTGGGGAGACTGGGACTGAGGGCAGTGGCTCCAGCACAGATCAGAACTGAGGGTGTGCTCCTGGCACCCACCCTGTGCTCCCAGCCCTGCCAGCTGCTGCCCATTCCTCCCCAAGTTCCCACTAAAGCTTTCCTTAACACGCCTCCCTGGGCAGTTGTGCTGCAGATGTGTGGGTGAGAGCCAGCTGTGCACACTGCACTCCAGCCACCCACCCTGGGACAGAAATCAGCCTCTTTACCACGTCCTGCTCTTCCAGTCACCTTTCCAACAAATTTGTTGTGCTTTTCCCAGTGCCTGAATGGGCATTCCAGGCCTGGAAACCATCTGTGAGCAAGGCATGGGGAGGTGGAAGGCAGGGACCCAAACAAACACACACAGTTATCCCCCAGGATCTCTGTGTCCAGCTGCCACTGGGAAAGCAGCTGCTGTCACCTGTGTGCCAGGACAGGCTCTGCCCTCCCTCTGCTGCCCCAGGACCCTCTCCTTGGATGCTCCCAGCCAAACCTCCCCAGCCACCTCAGTGTCACAGTGTGCTGGCAGCAGTCCCAGGGCAGCAGCACGTGTGATGCTCTGATTGCAGCAGGAGGTTTCCTTAGAAAAGCCTTTGCTCCAGGAAACCCTCATCTCCCATCTGTGCTGGGAGCAGAGAGAAACCCCACCCTGAGCCCACCCTGAGCAGGATGAGTGAAGGCAGCAGCACAGACTTCTCCCAGCTGGATGCACAGTGAGGAAGTGGTGCCACAGTGCAAAGCCAGCCTTGCTTCTCAGCCCTGCTGCACACGAGGAACATCCCAGATTGTCTCCAGAGCTTTTGCTTCTAAGGAGGAGATTGGGTCAGAATCATGGAGTCATGGAATGGTTTGGGTGTGGAGGGGCCTCAAAGCTCATTCCATTCCACCCTCCTTCCACTACCCCAGGGTGCTCCAAGCCTCACCCAGCCTGGCCTTGGACACTTCCAGGGATCCAGGGGCAGCCACAGCTGCTCTGGGCAGCCTCTTCCCAACATCTACGGCACATCCTCCACACATGGAAGATTTGTACACTTGGTTTGGATGTGTTTGCTGGGTCAGTGAATCTGAACTGATTGAAACAAAATGTGTTTAAAAAAAAAAACCTGCCTTAAAATAAAGACCAGATCCTACCATTGTCCCTGCAAAAGTGTCTCCATGTTGGCAGCTGTCCTGGCCTGTCTGTGTTCTCTCCCTGTGCTGCATTTCTGGACACATCTGCAGGGATCATGGACTCCAGGACCAGCTCTGTTCTGCAGTACCACTGGCAGGGAAAGCAAAACCAGGTTGTCAACAGCCACCCAAGTGTCAACATGACAAAAAAAAAAAAAAAAAAAAAAAAGGATGAGACAGGCAGAGTCAAACTGGGAGCTGAGAGACTTCAGTGAGAACATCCAGGCAGTCCAGGGCTGAACACAGAAACATCCAGTTGTGCAATGTTCTCTTGAGATGTCCTTCCAGGCTGTAACTGGGATGGCTCCTTGGATTTAAATTTGGGCAGAGCCAGGCTAACTACCTCGATTTATGGTTTCATCTGCACACCAGCCCTCACTGTTTGCCTCTGCTGGAGCTCATCTTGTGTGGAATGGAGGTGGAGATGTCCTGCTCCAAACACCTTGAACTGCAGCTCCTGGAGTTTACAGGAACAGCCCCCTGCTGAATCCAGCTTGTTTCCACTGTACACCAGTAAAAGGGCCCCGTGATGGTGCTCAGTGACCACCACAGGTTTCTCCACCTTTGCTTGGCTCCCTTCCTTGAGAAGACTCTTCACAGCCTAAAAACATTACAGTAACACACAGCACCTCTAGCCCTGTCAGGCCCTCCCTGGTCAGCCCAGCCCCTCCACTGTGGCAATTCCTGCCTAATGAAAACCCTCTCCCACTTCCCAGAGCACAGACCTGCTCTCCCAGCCTGTGCAGAGTCCCCAGAGCCTCATGGAGGGGGGCAATGAGAGCTGGCCTCAAGAAGGGGACGATAAGGGCTGGCCTCAATAAGGGGACAGTGAGAGCTGAGCTCAGTGAGGGAAGCAATGAGAGCTGAGCTCAGTGAGGGGCGCAATGAGAGCTGAGCTCAGTGAGGGGCGCAATGAGAGCTGAGCTCAGTGAGGGGCGCAATGAGAGCTGAGCTCAGTGAGGGGCGCAATGAGAGCTGAGCTCAGTGAGGGGCGCAATGAGAGCTGAGCTCAGTGAGGGGCGCAATGAGAGCTGAGCTCAGTGAGGGGCGCAATGAGAGCTGAGCTCAGTGAGGGGCGCAATGAGAGCTGAGCTCAGTGAGGGGCGCAATGAGAGCTGAGCTCAGTGAGGGGCGCAATGAGAGCTGAGCTCAGTGAGGGGCGCAATGAGAGCTGAGCTCAGTGAGGGGCGCAATGAGAGCTGAGCTCAGTGAGGGGCGCAATGAGAGCTGAGCTCAGTGAGGGGCGCAATGAGAGCTGAGCTCAGTGAGGGGCGCAATGAGAGCTGAGCTCAGTGAGGGGCGCAATGAGAGCTGAGCTCAGTGAGGGGCGCAATGAGAGCTGAGCTCAGTGAGGGGCGCAATGAGAGCTGAGCTCAGTGAGGGGCGCAATGAGAGCTGAGCTCAGTGAGGGGCGCAATGAGAGCTGAGCTCAGTGAGGGGCGCAATGAGAGCTGAGCTCAGTGAGGGGCGCAATGAGAGCTGAGCTCAGTGAGGGGCGCAATGAGAGCTGAGCTCAGTGAGGGGCGCAATGAGAGCTGAGCTCAGTGAGGGGCGCAATGAGAGCTGAGCTCAGTGAGGGGCGCAATGAGAGCTGAGCTCAGTGAGGGGCGCAATGAGAGCTGAGCTCAGTGAGGGGCGCAATGAGAGCTGAGCTCAGTGAGGGGCGCAATGAGAGCTGAGCTCAGTGAGGGGCGCAATGAGAGCTGAGCTCAGTGAGGGGCGCAATGAGAGCTGAGCTCAGTGAGGGGCGCAATGAGAGCTGAGCTCAGTGAGGGGCGCAATGAGAGCTGAGCTCAGTGAGGGGCGCAATGAGAGCTGAGCTCAGTGAGGGGCGCAATGAGAGCTGAGCTCAGTGAGGGGCGCAATGAGAGCTGAGCTCAGTGAGGGGCAGTGAGAGCTGAGCTCAACAAAGGCACAGTGAGAGCTGTCTGCTGGCCCAGCACAACCTCTGCCGCCCCCCACCCCAGGAGCTGATGGACCTTCCCCAGGCTCAGTCCAAGGAGCATCACTGACCATTCCTCAGGGCACACCCACGCTGCTCTGGCTGGCACCCTTGGAACCAGAGGTTTGCAAGGGCACCCGCTGCCCTGCCCAGGGAATGCCCGATCCAAACAGCCTTGGGAAGAGCCCGCTAGCTCCAGCCAAGGTGCCCAGCCCCTCCGTCCCCGCGAAGGGATGTCCTGTCCGGTCCTGCCCGAGCAGGCCGGGCCCGCGATGCCGGGCATGCCGGAGCAGGCCGGGCCGAGGCTGGCCCCTAGCGGCGGCAGCGCCGGGGGCTCGCGTGATACGGGGAGGCCGCAGGATCCTCCCACACGAGGGGACCCGGCCCGCCCGGCCGCAGCTGCCGGGCAGGCTCCCCGGACAGGCTCCCCCAGCCACATGCAGCCCATACGCTCAGGATTCGGGCTCGGTTTTCCTTCCAGCAGCTCTCTCCTCCGTTTCCCAGCTGGAATGCAGCTCAAAGCTG